ATGTATATACACAATATGATCAAATTTCAACAGTTAAATTGAATTTATAGATATATATAAAACTGAAAATTATCATGAATGTAATTTAAAACCATACATAAAAAAAAAACAAATTAATAATAAAAATTTAAATAATATTTCAACAACTTGTAGCTAGTACGGCAGAATACTGTTTCACAACAACATACTTTCATTTTAACAATAGAATCATTATTTATAAGTATCTACAATTTCTTTAAACATTAAAAACATGTCTTCATGTTTTCCTTACATTAAGGAAGTGGTTAGTGTACCAGACATCCCAAAAAACTGATTTAATATTCTTTACATGGAGAGGACAACATATAAAGGGAAATAAAATATGGTATTGATGGAAACTTTAGTAAGATTTTTAATGACGAGAATCACGTGGGTAAAACTCGGCGAGGGTGGAAGCGGGTATTCTCTTCAACATCTCCTTGGGGAAGATACGCAACAATTGCCAGCCAATGTCCAAAGATTCAAATACTGTGCGGTTCTCATAATTACCCTGGGAGAAAAAAAAATTTGTTTAAATTGATAAAACAAATTAAAATTAATTCTAGATATAATAATGTTGCTTTATTATTGCACTCTTAATTTCCCAATATGATGAAAATAACCAGAAACTAAAACAATACCTGTGAGATAAAGTTCTTCTCGAATTTCGTCAAGAATTCCAAGTACAACAAGTCATCAGGTGTCAAAGCTTCTTCTCCTACGACAGCCTTCATAGCCTGCACGTCCTTACCAATGGCATAGCAAGCATACTGAAAATTTAAACATTATAGAAATTTTTAAGTGTGATGTGTTACAGATAATTTTCTTTATATTTTTCTACATACCAATTGATTGGACACATCAGAGTGATCTCTACGTGTCATACCCTCACCAATGGCAGATTTCATCAAACGTGACAGGGAAGGCAATACGTTTACAGGTGGGTAGATTTGCCTGTTGTGAAGTTGTCTATCTACGTAGATCTACACATTTGAAATTGAATAATATACAATCATTAGCATATGACAGAAGGCTAAAAATAAGCTATTATTTATTTTAATACCTGTCCTTCAGTGATGTAACCAGTCAAATCAGGAATAGGGTGAGTAATATCATCGTTGGGCATAGTCAAAATTGGAATTTGGGTGATAGAACCATTTCTGCCTTCAACACGTCCAGCACGTTCATAAATTGTGGCCAAATCAGTGTACATGTAACCTAGGAGCAGAAAAAAAAAATTATAAACAAACCTTGAAAAAAAAATTATATATATTTATATAATAAATATATACAGTAGAATCCGCTTAGTATGACATCGAAGAGACGCCGAAATCTCGTCATACTAACCGGTCGTCATTAAAGCGTACTGAAGAAAAACTTTTTAATATGCAAATATGTTACATTTTCAGTAATTTAAAAGAAAAGCCTATACAAACGTTTTAATTAAAAATAAAAATTACACATTAAAATTTAATATAAAAAAAATTATAGGGTAGGGGGGGCACGACGGTCCAATTTGACTACAGTAATTATACTGTCTAAACCCAATGAAAAACACATAACATACATCAAAGAAGCATCTATTGAACTATGTTCAGAAAAACTTACATACATACGTACATAATTCCTAATTATATAAATATTATTTTTTACTTTTTTTAAACATTTGGTATCTGACCCATTTTACCTCACATACGGGGTAAAGTGGAACAACCAGGGGGCGAACAGACACAATTTCTTCTATTAAATTTAAAGGCATTTTACGCTAACATTATGAACCAACGCAAATATTAATTCTGTGGGTACATTTGTTACAAAGACAACACAGTATATTACATTGATCTGCTATTGGTCAGAAATATTCATCAGAAGAGCCGGAATAACAATTTATTCAATTAATCTCTTGTTAAATTGCTTTTTTTAAAACTTTACTATTTTATTGCTTAACCTTTGTCAAAGTAAAGGTTCAGCTGGTCCTTTTTATCGCAGTCATGTGCTGCTTATCTTCTAATAGCAAAGTCATAAGAATAAAGATGACTGGTTATGAGTTCATACATTTTTTGCCCTCTACTATCCAATATAATTGTTAAAAAAAAATCTAATTTTATTTGTTTATGAGATATTCGTGGTAGGCCATCAATAATTAGTTTACCCTACCCATAAACATACAAATGTGTGTTTTTTTAATGCAAGTAATCAGTAATTTTGATTGATTTCTTTACAGAATTTTATTGTAAAAACAGTCCCTGGTGCTATTGTGCTCAAAAGACATAGTAATTGCTTTCGTAGACTTGGCCACATCATGTAAAATCATGTCGGTCATTATAATTGGACATATTTTTTGCAAACAAAGCGACATGTCATTATAAGCAACATGTCAATGTAAGCAATGTCAATATATCCGACTAGACAGCTGTTTTTTAAGGAATTTTATATGGAAACCAAATTCCTAGTGCGATTACGTCATATTAAGCGGTTGTCAATATATCCGGCGTCATACTAATTGGATTCTACTGTATATATTTATTAAAATAAACTGGATACTTAAAATTGAAAAAATTATAGTTACCTGGGAAACCACGACGTCCGGGTACTTCTTCACGGGCAGCTGATACCTCACGCAAAGCTTCAGCATATGAGGACATGTCTGTTAAGATTACCAACACGTGCTTTTCACATTGGTAGGCCAAGAATTCAGCAGCTGTCAAAGCCAGACGTGGGGTAATGATACGTTCAATAGTTGGATCATTGGCCAAGTTCAAGAACAGCACACATTCTCCATGGAACCATTCTCCTCGAAATCCTAGAAGAAAGTGTTTACTTAGTAAATGTACCATCAGTGCAAAACTTGGCTTTATGACCAATTAGTGTAAAGTTCAAAAACTAAAGAATCATAACTAACTTGTTTGAAGAATCTGGCAGTTTCCATGTTGACACCCATAGCGGCAAACACAATGGCAAAGTTATCTTCATGGTCATCCAAAACTGATTTTCCTGGGATTTTAACTAAACCTGCTTGCCTACAGATCTGGGCAGCAATTTCATTGTGGGGCAGACCAGCTGCAGAGAAGATGGGAATCTTCTGTCCACGAGCAATGGAGTTCATCACATCAATAGCAGAGATACCTAATAGACAAAAATTAATTGTTTAAGACTGAACTTATGAATAAAATGAATGACTATGAATATTTAATTAATATTATTTTTATTATTATTTGCTTATATTTTACATTAAATCATATTACGGATATTATTTCATGTAAATTTTATCCTTTGCTCTTTTATTTATTTAAATTTATATTATTATTTATCAATATTACTTGATGTTAATAAATTAGCAGTTGTAATAATTATTGAAATTAAAAAAAAAAAAAAAGAAAAAAAATGAATAGGATAACTATGAATGAAATTTATATAATTAATATAAATTTGGGGATATTTATCGACTATACTTAAATAATTATATCCTGGGTGATAATGATATATGCATATAGATTACTAAAAAAAAAAAACAATATTCATAATAGCTGTTAATATACCAGTTTGGATCATTTCCTCAGGATAGATACGAGACCAGGGATGATGGGTTGACCTTGGATGTCCAAGAAATCTTCAGCCAAATTGGGGGTCCTTTGTCAATTGGCTTTCCTGATCCGTTGAACACACGACCTATAATTATAAAAAGTTGTTAGTTACTAACACCACAAAACTATTAAACATAAAATAACAAATAAGCAAAACTTTGATAATTTTTTGTTGAAAACTGTATTCAAAAAATTAAATAATGTATTCAAAATATAATATTAAGCAGTAATTAGTTTTAGAAAAATTATGAGAAAGTAACAAGTTTTTGATTTATAATTATTTAGAGCATTATCAAATTGTGTTTCATTTAGGAATTGGGCAAGTTCACACAGAAAAGCAAAAACTCAATGTTCTGTATAAAACAAGACAAAAAACTGGAACATATACACACATGTATGAAGCAGTTCTAAATTTTATATACATTTCTTTTAAAATATAATAATTAATGAAAACCTACCAAAACACTAACAAATTGCTTTTTAATTTTTATTAATGCTAAGTTAGATTACCTAACATATCCTCTGATACTGGAGTCCTCAAAATGTCACCAGTAAATTCACAAAGTGTGTTCTTAGCGTCAATTCCTGAGGTACCCTCAAAAACTTGTACAACAGCTTTGGAGCCGCTGACTTCCAAAACCTATTTTAATTTCAAATCATTAATATTTATAATTGTGAAAACATGCAAAGAATCTGACATAGTGTTGAATTTCATAAATACGTATATAATATTAGCAATTATATGATAAAATTATAAATTAATGCCATGACAGTCATTTTAAAAATATATATATATATATATATATAATATATATATATATATACATATTTAATATATTAGGGTGGTTCTTCATGTGGATATTTGAAATTTCATTGCTCTCAGAGGCTCAAATACTTCCAAATTGATAAAAAAATTCTCTCCAAGTTTTAGCTCTTAATATTAACTAAGATAGTCCGCATACCGCCCGAAGTTTCTTATGGAAATAATATGAAAAATATTTCATTTGTTTTTTAGAATTTCATAACTCAGCAACCAATCTAACATACTCGTATACAATAAAACAATAAACAAAAAAAATCAGTGACAAGTCACCAACATTTTGAGAATATCACGGTAATTGCTTATATTGATCAAAAATAAAAATTTCATAACAAAAATATGATATATTTCATAAAATAAATATTTACATTACAATTTTAGAATAACTTCAAGTTCAAATAACTCGTAAGCCAATAGAGTTTAATGAAGAATTATAAGAAACCTTTTTTGTGGCGAGTCAAATTTTAATAAAATATGATTGCAATTGTTACGCTTGATTTGTTTGTCATTGAGTTATAAAATTCAAAAAAACAAATAGAAATTTTTCCATGTTATTTCAATAAAAACTGAAGACTATCTTAAAGTTAATATTAATAACTAAAACTTCTAGAGCCCCTGGGAGAAAAGAAATTCGAATATATTCATGTTAAGGACTACCCTAATATATATATTTAGTATAATACTGGGTGTATCTAATTTATAAAGCAATCATCACAATCAAAGATGGTGATGGCATTCATTATAGCATACCTTTATAAGGATACCATGTAAATACTATATAATAATTATATTTATACAATATATATATACACATATAATAATATATATATATATATACATATATAGATGTATAAACTTAAGTTTATGATAAGTTCGAT